GAAAGATAACAATGACTAATTAATACATAGGTATATAAAATATAATATGTAGAGGGATAACATAAAAAAATTATTTTCAATTCTATTTTTAAACTTATAACAATGAGTTGTCAACATAGATAATAGAAGAATGGATAGGCCATGTTAAATCATATAACGCAAGTGGTCGCGGTATTTCAAGTAAGAGAGAGAAGGCAGTTTCTCACTCTCGCAAGTGGCGATTTTGTTAGGTGATGTTCAAATATAAAAATTAAAATAGATAACATCCATTGTTTTGTTCTTAAACCGGCCCATTAGTAGGCCGCCAGCGGCCCGCTAATGACAAGGGGGGGGGGGGGCAAATGCCCACCTTGCCCCCCCACAAATGACGCCACTGCTGGTAACCATACACATGGTTTGCGCACAGTTACCTTTTAGACTTTAATAGTTTAATACCTTGCATATTAATATTTGTTTATTAATAAGTAAATTATTTAAGTACCTACTTACATACATTTTCCTTCATTCTTAACAGACTTAGGACTGTGAATGTATTCATATTTCATAGGTGTGGTTAAAAATGCATGTTAATACTTGCTTGTTAATAATTGTTGATAAATAATATTTAATACTTGTTCAACTTAAAAATGCATGTTAATTTTAATTTTAATATAATATTTCTGTACTCTTTATCGTTGATTATCAGTGCCCAACACAGATAAAATATAATTATTTTCGTGTGCGCAAACCAGTTGCAGCCGAATTATTCGGAGTATTTCGATATACAAAAGTTTTGGACAAGTAAAATTTATTAAATATATTTACTTTATTTAAGTAATATTTAAATTTATAGAAAAAGTTTGTTTTTTAACGACTTAAAGTTATGTACAAAAAATAATCGCAAGAACTTTAAAAGTTTTTGAAATAATTAATGTCTTATACGATAAAATTAATATTTAATGTCGAATTGTCATCCACCGTGTGTACTCACGTCTCACATAGAACCGGTTATAAAGATATTTTATTTTCATTGATAATGTATTGCGCCCTATAATAGTGGGCTCACTGGCTCAGTACAAGTTCTTTCAACATAGTACCTATATACTATATTTATTAGCTAAGATAATAATTATAGAATCTACCTACCTACATAATATTAAAAAAATACAATCAGAACGAACGCCACTGAGATTGACGTGAATTTAAATGAAAAAGTCATATTCTAAAAAAGAACTAGATAAAAATATTAATTTAATAATTTTGAGAAAATCAAATCCATGGAGATCATACACAATCTTTCTTTCCATGATATCACAGTGTTTTGGGTTTTTTTCGATGTAAGTAGGTACCTACCCTGTTGATAAAATTTTCTTTTCTTTAGTCAAAAAGCTTGATAATTGAATACAAATTTCCTCGTGAGATTTTATACTGGTTAAAAAAAACCGTAAGTATACCCGAAGAAAATACATAGAATTTCCACAAGCATTAATTAATTTTACACAATATAGCATGTTGACATGTTTATTAAAAATATTATCAAATAAAAACCAAATATTATATAACATAATACACAATTTTATTCAAGTTAATTTACATATTCTACAATTATTTACATATACGATTTACATATTATACATTATTACAATATCATAGCCATTATTTATAATTATAATTTAGATAGGTATACACTTTTACAGAACATTCCCCCTGTTCGGGGTTAGAATTAGATAATACACCAACTTCAACTCATATCGTTATAGGCGAATAAAGTGCTAGCCGAGGGCAGCAGTAACCGCTAATATACATCTGTGATTTATGACACAAACGATCGGAACGGATACAGTTTATATGGTTATGATTATTTGGGCACAGGATTTTAGACGTCCCTTCCCCCCACAGTTAAAGAGCTCGTGTCGACGAGTTCGCAACCCACTTTTTTGTAGTAATAAGTTTAATTAAACGTTGCACCTTTTCATTATTTTGTATATAATATATTTGTAGATATTTCACTATTTTGTAAATAGTGAAAAGGTGTGACTTTTAGTTAAACTTATTACTACAAAAAAGTGCGGTGCGAACTCGCTACGAACGCTGACGACACGAGCGGGAGGGGACATCTAAGATCCGGTGCCCAAATAATCGTAATTTAACCGTATAAACTCGTCTATTCGTCTGTGTGGTCAATCGCACCACAACAGAACATTCGCCTCACAAATTTCTTGGTCCGGCTCCACAGTGACCGGCGCGGACGTCTTCTAGCTGTGTCTGAGGTTAACGCCGGGTCCGTGCCCTCGTCACAACGGCCAATGCAGGTTACCGTGTCCGTTACCATAAGCCGCATGTCGGCTTCTAACTTTTGTAACCGTAGAAAAGACGGCGAGACTACAAATAACGACGTCTCGATCCCGCTATCTTCTACAGGTGTCATCGACGTAGCAATAGACGATCCGGTACATAGTGAATCGGTGGAAACTGTCAACTCCTCTGACGCCGTAACTAACTGCAATCCAATTTCGGGTGCATCGCCACTGGAATTTTCGCCCACGGCCATATTGGACAATGACACAGCTCTCTTGCAGTGCTCCGGCAAACAGTGGAAATCGCAGTTTCCCAAAGGTTTCCGTCCATTTTCCCGGATACCGTCGACAACCGGCAGTGTTATATTGGGCATGGACTGGCACCCGGTCTCTAGTGCTTCAGCAGTCGAATTTTTTAACAAGGCCATGTTAGGACACGACACAGCCCTTTTGTACACCGGCAAACTAGGGAAATCACCGATTTCCGACGGCTTCTGTTTACCTTCCCGGATATCGTCGACAGCAGGTAGGTTAGGCATTGATTTCCATCCGAACTCTGTTACTTTGGCTGCAGAATTTGTCCACGCGGCCATGTTAGGTATAGACATAAACCGTCTGTGAACCGGCAAGCTATTGAAATCGAAACCATCTAACGATTTCGGTCTGTTCGACCGAATATCGTCAAACACCATATGCATAATTTCGTTCTCTGACGGTTTCTGGTTAACGGATGAAGCTGCGCTATTTGACATGTTGGTTTTACGATAAATGTGAATAAACAAATTATAATAAATAATACGATTTAACTTTTAGACGAAAGCAGGTAAATTTATTTGTAATGTTCGCAAGACTTAACAAATTAATACTGATTGGTAATTACTGTGACACAGAAACGAATAATACATTTTCCAAACACTTATGCACGTCTTGGCAACAAGATGTTTATTGATTTTGTAAGACTGAATGTATCTTTATAAATTTATTATATAGGTACAACTGTACAAGTGTATAACAATTATTTATTAAATTCTTATTTTTATTTTTTGTTACACTGCTGAGGTACAAAACTAAAAGTTATTTTATTATTCAAATGAAACCTATCATTTTTATGTGAATAGATATTTGCTATGTATAGTAGGTATATGAAAACAAAACCACAGGGAAAAAACCAAAATGGTAATATAATCAATGAAATTCGAAATATCTTTTTCCTTTATTCTAAATGTCTTTGTAATAAATTGGACAAAGCTGAGCACTAACTGGTTAGTTTGAATTCATATTAATTTAGTTACTTAATAGTTAACTAGTTGAATTTAATGTGTAAAATAATCTAATCTAACTCGTTAAAAATAATAAGGAACTAGTTATTTTTGTAATTTAATGATTCAATTTCTTATTTAGTTGTATTCTAATAATGTAATGACTGATATTCCAAGAAATTAAGGTTATTGTCTACATATTTGATAAATTTTATCAAATTATCAGCTGACAGTTGTTTAACTCACAGATATATACAATAATATATATATTGTATATGTCTGTGGTTTAACTTAATTTTTCATTCACCACCAATAATTCAAGTTAGTTACCTACCCACCTACTTGATAGTTAATTTATATAATGCATTACATTTGAAAAAATGGTTTTATAAATTTATATTTGAACTAAATAAAAACTTACTTCTAACTTCTACTCTAACTTAAGTTACTATTTTTACCAAACTAATTTCTATCCAACCACCCAGTTAATTTGTATATAATTTTTATAATATTCATAACACAGCAAATAGATTGTATATTGTATTAATTTGTGATTATGCCACGGACTGAGATATATCTTAGTCCGTGGATTATGCTAATTCTCTGGTTATATTATCACTGGTTTTTTTTCAGTTGGGTTTTTTCTGGGATTCGTATAGTACGTGTGTAAGACGGAGACAACAAATGCATGCGTCCTACCATTAAACGTCTTTAGTGCAATTTGAAAAAGTAATTTTAAGCGCAATCGGTAAATTACCGTTCTATCATCTGACGTTATTGTAACCGAATATAGGTAACTACGAGCTGTTCTATGCGTTAAAAAGAAAGAAATTTGTACCGCGTCCAAATAACCGGGGTAAATATAACTTGATTTCGTCTCGAGGAGTGAAAAAAAAAATTGTATCGTAGCTTAGTCGCTATCCAACACCGCGGAAGACGGCCGATACCAGTACTGAGAGATGGGCCGTGAATATACTACGACAGCACGACACGTACCATCACAACAATAATAACAATAATCGACAACGCCGCCACATTAAATAATAATTATTGTGTTGTCGAAGTCTAGTCGTTCAGTACTGAATACGTATCGCGTACCGCGGTTCTTATTGGATTTCTATCGGCTGGCAGTTCGCGAGCACCTACTAACCGGGCCACTGGACAAAAAAATCAGAGTGCGTACGAACATACAAAAAAATATTTCTATTAATATCATCAAACAAGTAATAATATTGTAATACCTAGTAATAATACGGCTGATAATTATTATTGATTATCTCTGATATTTGCCCGTCGGTCCGCTAGAAACGGAAACGTCTCGAAAGGCGTACGGGCAGCGCCATCTCCCGGACAACACCTTCGACAGCCGAGCGCAACATAGATAGCGAGAGACACTTCGCCCGACGCGCGACGTCGGCGATTTCCCGACTTACCGAAAACCACTACCAAGACAAGAGACGCTAACATGGGCCTGTTGTTCCGCCGCTTGTTGCCGTCCACCGTTGTCGTTTCCTCGTCGTTGATCGTGAGTATGGTGCACAGACATTAATTTTAAATCTTTTTATATTTTGATAGATAGTCCGTCGCGCGATGATCGACGGTGACCTATGGCCGTTCTCGTCGTCATCGTGTGTGTAATGGTCGAGTAGGCTTGACCATAAAGTACGTTATCGCACTCGATTCGATGGGCACAGGGCGGGACTAGACGTTTTCGATTTCTGATTTTAGACTTGTAGGGCCGACTTGTCGACGGGCGTGGTTCTAGGGCTACATTTTCGTATGGGCAACGGTAGATTTATGATTAGGTTTTAACTGCGAATTACATTCCTCATTTCCTCCCCCTTCCCCAATAAGGGGCACCAGAAATTTTGGTATGGGCAGCTCCGCACCCTGCCCATACGCTAGAACCGCCACTGCTTGTCGTGGGTTGGATTCTTTTGGGAACGCAATCTATGCATTTTGATTCCTCTCTTGGCGACTAGGTACACTTTAAACTATTTTTGCTCTTACACACCTGATCTCATTATATTGTCATAACTAAAGTCTACATTTATTTGTTAAAGTTAAAAAAAGCAAGTTAAAAATTATATTGAATTTGATAATCTGACGGTATTTAAAAATATTTATTTATTTGAGAAATTGATTTACTCAACCAAAAAATTGTTACCTAATAATATTATATTATTTATACATATTTATACAGAATTATTGAATCTATTAGCATGGGTTAAGTGACCAGGTCACCCTGGTCATTATAGTTACTATGACGATGGGAACCATACCAATGAATAATCTTAACATAGCGTAAAACAAGGGCTGTCTGTATGCTTAGATCTTTAAAACCACGCAACGGATTTTGATGCGTTTTTTTTTTAATTGATAGAGTGATTTAAGAGGAAGGTTTATAATATGTATATAACATGCATAACATAGTAGAGAAACACCCCCGGGAGGTGCTCGAACAAGAATTTTGAGATTTACGATACACATTTTTGTTTGTTAATGGTTGCTATGGACACACACAAATAGAAAATATTGAAATTAAAAAAAAAATAATAAATCTTAATCTTAACAAAGTCCAGCTGTCTGCCTGTATGCTTAGATCTTTAGATTTTTAATAAATTTACATACTTATGTATAATTGCATTTTGTATTTTGTGTATTACGTGGTTGCCCGACAATGTAATCCGTACTCTGAATTAATAAAAAAAAATATATATTCAAAATTCTATGATGGTATTTAAATACTTAAGTGAATTCCTTTCAAACTGAGTACATTTTGTACAGAAATTATAAAGTCATGTCTGGAAGACGTCGTCGTTTGAACATAGGTCGTAGTACAGTGTGAAATTAATTCATTTTTTGTAGGCAAAATATAATATATAACTACACTAGTTCTATGTATAACTAAATTTATACAGCATTACTACACAGTACACATGATTATTATATGACCATGAGTAATCATCAAGGTCAATGTGTCTACTGATAACATTATAAGAACTATAGGTGTTGTTGATAAATTAATATTCATTCTTTAATTCAACGATGGTAAACATTTCAACTAGTAGCATTTTGTTTGTATTGGTACTGGCAGTTGCTTTGGTGTTTAGCTTTTATTTGTCTGTAAGTAAATAATGTATTAGTGATAGTTATGCAATCTCTTTTCTTGTTTTTGTGAACTATGTACATACCTTTTACAGTATCACTTATTTCAAAGCCTCCTTAGAACCTATTAAAAATTATATAATTAGTCACGATTTTTATTTGTATGTATTAGTTTCAGAGCAAAAATCTTAGTAGCACAACAAACAAAATGGCTGAAGATTGGAAGAATGCCAAATCTGTGTATGAATTCACAGTAAAAGATATCAAGGGAGAAGATGTTTCGTTGGAAAAATACAAGTATGAAGTACTATAATGAAATAATTTCATAAAAACTAACCTTATATTTTGTTGTATTTTTGTTTCTCAGAGGTTGTGTGTTGATCATTGTAAATGTAGCATCCAAATGTGGTTATACATCTAAGCATTACAAAGAGTTAATTGAGCTTGATGAGAAGTATCGTGATAAAGGGTTGAAAATTCTCGGTTTTCCGTGCAATCAATTTGGGGGCCAGGTAAATCTGCAACAATGACAATAGAGTATTTTTTAATTTATTTAAACCAAATAATTTTAATTTATGTTTGGTCTTTTTAAAATTTCCACCATTTTTAATATTCTAATTGGTCTAATTTAATTATATTTCTATGTAATAGAATAAATCTAGGAATTGCCACTTGACCATTGCCTGTATGTGGACATTGGACAATTATTTTATCCCAGCCCAACGTTTATTATGTGGCTTCAAATTTAATTTTTTTTTAATTTAAATAAGATGAACTTATGAGAAATCTTATATAATCTCTCAAGCTATAGGCATTAAAATAAACCATTTTATGAATTTTGATATTAAAAATTTATTTGAACGTCTTAATATTTTTATTTTAAATCTTACTAACAACTTTTTCCGTTTATTCATCTGAAATACTAGTTAGTTGTTGAATATATTAAAATATGTGCAACATTTTTGCATTCTTAACAGTCATATTTTAATAAGTGAATGTCTAAATTTTTTAGTGAGTTTAAATAAGACTAGCATGCAAAATAGTCAAATTAATATGTCCTTATCACCAGTGGAAAATGTTCTCTACCTGGTTGGAAATTGACCGGACGACTATATAATATGTTTCAAATTTAATTTTTATGTATTTCAATTACATTTTGAACTTCTCATATTATTCCTACATGTTACTAATTTTATCATTAGTTAGCCATTATCTGCAACGGTTTTATATCAATTTAATTCTAGGTTTATTCAGCTATGGAAGCATTTAGCCTTAATATTTGTTAATTCTTCTAAACTTCAAATACTTAAAATAATTAAATTATAACATCAATATTCACTATGTACGCATAATAAGTATCAATATTATATTATATTAAATATGACATTTTAAAAAGCAGTAAAAAATATTTAAATAATCTCCACCAATATCCGATAAGAACTAAAATCAAATTTACTTTATGACTATTGATGATAATTGGTGACCAATGATACAATTATCATCTGGATATTAATGCTATACATATTTATTTATATTTAACCCATTGCTTATATCATAATATATTTTATAGGAACCTGGTGATGCTGATAGTATTTGTAGCTTTACTGCAAAACAAAATGTTAAATTTGACATATTTGAAAAAGTTGATGTCAACGGCAATGACGCACATCCATTATGGAAATATTTGAAATCAAAACAAGGCGGTTTATTGATTGAGTAAGTAAATATGGTAATTTTATATTAATTTACTAACAGTGAATATTTGAATGATTCTTTAGACAAATTAATATTTATTTTATGTATAATATGGTTTATGAAATACTATTTAATTGTTTGATAATTTTTGTAATATCTACTTTTCAGAATATATTTTAATTTAGATATTGTAGATATTACGTTTTATTTTACATAATAATATAGTATAAACTAAAATACACACACGTGTTCCTCCCCCTACCGACATAACAACACACAAATAAAAACCACTACAGCTAATGGCCATAGTTGCCGAAGCTTAAGATCAATAAAAAAAAAAAAACTAAAATAATCCCTTATTAATATTATTTTTATAATTATATGGATACAATATCACCTAAATATGACGTCATAGTAGATTTAAAAGATGGGGGCCCTACCGTATGCTAGTGCAAGGGATCCAGCTATGGATCCAGAGTTTTCATTAAGACATAAAAATAAATGATTAAACATTGTATTCTATGTAGGTGCTTTGATTGCATCTAATTCTTGTATTAAAAAAGAGGGTCAAAAAAGCTACAAAAAAAAATATCATAATTTATAAATAATTATAATTAATAGGTACCTACTAGGTAGATAAATGTATACTTATACTAATACTCAAAGTATTGCTCATCAAAATACACTTGAAAAAAGTTTAGTTTTAATTTTAATTTTTCTAACTGTTATAATATGACAATTATTTATATGTAAATTGTGTCAATATAATTTCATATAAGTTTTTTTTTTTTTATTGGTCCATGGCCATAAGCTATTGTGGAGGTTATGGTTGTATCGGTACACTTAGGCCATTTTTTTGTTTCAATTATGGGTTAGGGTACTGTAGGTTTTTGGTAAACACGTGTGTTTGGTTTTGGCAGAATTTTTAATTGGGCACCCGTAGGTTTCTGCCATGCCCAGTTGAGAGATGGCGGCCTCTCTCTAGACAGTTGCCTGCCCAGAGAGAGGAGCCGCCCGTGGTTGAGATTCGAACTAGCGACGGTGTGCATCAGAACTGATGCCATAGTCTGCTCGGCCACTCCATCCGCCTTCATATAAGTTTACTAAGATTTATTTAAATATTAATTTTATTTCATAATTGTTATTTTTACCTTTCAGTTCTATTAAATGGAATTTTACCAAATTCATTGTTGACAAGAACGGACAACCCGTTGAGAGGCATGCTGCTAATGTTAGCCCTTTGGTAATATGGTTTTTTTATTTAAATTATTTAAATAGTAAAAGTTTTACTAAAATAAATTTTCTTAGAGCAAATATTATACTTTTTTAATTTTTCATTTCAGCCTAAGTAACTAATTTATATTAGGCAATACTTAATTGATTTACAAATGTGTATGCTTACAGTTTAAATTTATATATTATTTTAACGTTAAATTCAATAAGTTTTTAAATTACAAGGAAAGAAATAACTAGCAAAATAAAAAAAAAACCATAATGTATGAAAAATTACCTTCCTCCATTTATCATTGTCACTATGAATCAATACAACTGCAAGTTTATTGTTCCAAACTGTTATGTCAGAACTATTTATCTTTAATCTCTAATCTATTTTTATAAATATTTTAGATATAATAATCTCGCTTAAATAATTTTCAAACTATAATATTATTGTTTCTCAATGGTTTAATATCAAGTATTTGGTATAACACTAGTGTACATTAATAAACTCTTTATGTTATCCATTTAAAAACGAAGTACAATTCATCTAAACTCTAAAGTTTACAGTTTTATTATAATATTATTTTTTTTTTTTCAGGGTTTGGAGAAGAATTTGCAACAATATTTGTAAAAGCTTTTATGATCAAAAAAATAATTATAATCTTTCATATCTCATTTATTCTATTAAAATGTTTCAATTTCTTTTTCACGACATTAAGAAGGCTGCAAGATATTATTATACCTATTGGCTATTAAGAATTGTTTTTTTTATTTATTTATTTTTTATATTTAGAAAACTTTATTTGCATAATCATTATTTTGACCTTCAATGTATAAAGCAATAATTGTGTATATGCATGCTTTTTGTCGTTTGTTAAAATATGGATCAAATCAATTATTTGTTTTTATTTACAATTTGTTTACTAAATCATGTATCCTGTCATTTTGTCAGCTCGGCAGTTGCATAAATCTATAAATATCAAGTTTCAAAGAGCAGCTGCACATAAAATACTGTCAAACGGTTATCAACATCATACAAATTATTTAAAAGTTAACGTTCATAAAAAAAAATGAAGGTTCAAGAATATATTCTTCTAATTTTTGCCGCTATTTCATTTTGGGTAAGTAAATTGATAAGACTGTTTGAATAACAGTAGAGTTATACCTGAAATATGTTACTTGGTTTACTTCACTTGCGTATTGAACAACATTTATAAGTTTATTTACCTAATTTGATTATTACAGTGGATTCCGCTTAATGTTGGCACATTGGGACCAAACTAATTAGCCCACATTAAGTGGTTGCCCATATAAACCGAAATTAGTAAAATTAAAAATTCCCAGTACCTACTTCCTTTACAATTGGAAAAATATTAAATTAACTTTCAACTGAGTCTGCTGTCATTTTAATTAGAAAACAAAAAAAACTGTTAATACTTGAAATGTTTATGCCTAATGTTTATATTAGCATTTTTTTACAGCGTATAATTTTCAAAATATTTTGATAGTTATTTGTAGACATTATAAATTTTCATTTATAAAATATGTTGATTTGGTCAAAAAGCTTGAAAATATAAAAACGAATGCCTGTATCTACTTAACATTTTTGTAAAATGTCTATGTTAGCTTATTCTATACATGGTAAATTTAAATTTTTAAAGTTTAAATAATATAAACTATAATATAGGCATCTTCTAAGAATCGAATTTTTCTAAATTTAACACATCTATACATTACAGTGATTTACTCAAAAAAGAGGTACAGTCAACACCAAACTAAGTACAATAAAGCGCTTACCTATCCTCCCCCCTTTTTTTTATTAAAACATTAAGTAATTTGTTTTTATAGAAAACAATATAGGTAAATCATAATTAATAAAATTAATACACAAATTTCTTATGATCATAATTTCATACATACACCTAGTAGCCAGTAGGTAGTGTATTCAGTGCAGGTTCACATAGTATACACATTTGAACAAAATATTTATATAATGTTAAGGTGCATTATTCAAATTAGGTTCATCTAAAATTTGTTGATTGAAAATACACTGAAGAATAGTTAACTTATTATTATTTTAATTTAACTCTTAATGTTATGCAAATGTATCAAATATTCATTATGTCATAAATATTAAATTATAATATTCCATATTTGAATGATAAAATGTTAAATAATAATATCTATAAATTTCATAAAAAAATGTGGAGTATCTAGTGAGTAGGTAGGTGTCGTGTGAGTCACGGTTATGGAAGTTTTAAATTTGAATTCAATGATACCTAAATCATTGCATACAAAAAACGATTTTGAGATAAGATGGTCAGCCAATATATGTAATTTGATTTACTATTAGATAATGTTGAATTAACTTTTGCATAAAACATTGCATTTGAATATGTAATGTGTGTTTAAAATAATAACTTCATTTAAAAATCTAATTTAGTCTGAGTTTGAACTTCAAATGTTTATAAAAAAAAAAAACGGAATATATATTTTTATGTCTTTGTTTCAAAGAATGAACCACTTATGATGAACCTTGTTTTAAATATTCATACATTTTAGCCAAGAAAAATGTCTTTAACGACTTAAAGAAAAAATATTCAACTATAGATAGGTACCTAAAAAGCTCTAAAAAATTCAAAATATTTTTAAAATGTTATCATGTACAGAAAATGTTAATATAAACATTTTGTAAAAATTTCAAGTATCTAAGTACCTACAGTTTGTCGTTTTTTAGTTATAACAAAATTGGTTTTGCATAAGAATTCCCGTTTTTCTTAAACTTTTAATTGTTTTTTCCTGAGTACTGACCCTATTGAAAAGTAGTGACAATTTTCTATTTTGACCTCCTAAAAGTACCCGGTGTTTGTCAATTGCGCCGATTTTTCTAGACTACCTGAAATTTATACATCTTTTGCGCCGGTGGATTTATCCCAAACGAAAAAGGTATACGTCTTTTGCGCCAATAAATTTATTTAAAATTAATTTGGTATACATAATATATATCTATTGTGCCAGGAAGATATTATAAAATATCATATTACTATACTATTATTAGATTATAATATAATTATCAAACATATAAAATAAAGTGTAATTTAAAAAAGGTGGGCAAGTGGGTGTCGCTCTGCCGTACAGTAGGTTACAAGTGGGTCATTGTATAATGGATGGTAATAAATTTGAATTCAATGATATAATATCATTGTATAAGAAAAACGATTCTGAGCGGAGACGGTATGTCCTTCTAGGTAAAAGACATATTATATACATATCTATGGTATTAAAAAAAATTGACCTATAATGAATTCCAAATTAATCATATCACAATATCCATTAGGTACTTATAACGCGTTATACACCAACAACAAACCCTGATACTATCATAGATATATATAGTAGATTACTTTAGAAATTTCAAGTACCCACGAATAATATTATACAATCACAACAAAATAACTAAAATCGTAATTCTTGGTTTAAATATGAAATTTTGTCTAAACTTGAAATTAAAATGTCTGTAAAAAATAAGTGTGTTTATATATTTTTTAGATTTTTTGGTTACAGTATGAATTATTTAAGAGAATCTTTGTTTTAAATTTTCAACTCTTAGTTATAAAAACTGAACATTTTATAATTTTTTAATTCCAACGATTGATTATTTTCGAGATTTTGATAAATTTTGTCAAAATTCCAACTTTAAATGCTTATAAAAAAAAATCGTGCCTATGTATTTTTAATATTTTTCAACTGATATTGTAACAATATATAAGAAAGCTTGTATTCAATTTTCAGACTTTTTGGCCCACCAAATAAAATTTTATTGACAATTATAAAAAAAAAACTAAAAAAATTGAAAACTGAAAATGTCCGTAAACAACTCAAAAAGAGTCAAAATATTTTCAAAATTGTATGGTGTATAGGAAATGCTAATATAAACATTCAGTTAAATTTTCATATATCTATAGTTATTCGTTTATGAATTACAACAAAATAAGGAAATCGCTACATGAGAAATCGAGTGAACATCCAATGTTGTAAAAATTTGAATTTCAAACGCTCATAAAAATTTAATTTGACTGTCCGGTAGAGATTTTTTTATTGATAAAGGTAGACAAACTTATGAGTAATCTTGTATTACATTTTCAAATCTTAGATTTAAAAAGAAAAATTTTTACGAATTCTTAACTCAAAATAATTTGCTAATTTTCGTGATTTTTCCATATTTTGTCAATTTTTGAACTTTAAATGCTTATAAAAAAAAACTGTGACTAACGATTTTTAATATTTTTCATCTGCCTTTGAAACAACATATTAGGAGCCTTCTATTAAATTTTCAAGCTTTCGCAACCAACAAATAAAATTTTATTGATATTTTTAGAAAAAAAAATGGAAAATGAAAATGTCCCTAAACAGTTCAAAATAAATCAAAATATTTTGAAAATGTTATCGTGTATAGAAAATGCAATTATAAACAACCAGTGAAAATTTCATGTATCTACGGTCATTTGTTTTAAAGTTACACCAAAAACCAAATTCGATTTTTTGGAAAATCGATTTTGCGTAAAAATTCCCGTTTTTCCTTAATTTTTATGTTGTTTTTCCCGGCGCTTGTGAAAACTACTGGAAAATGTTTACTTTTGACCCCCCAAAGTACCAACTAGATTCACTTTCCTATCAGAAAAGGTACTATTGAAGAAAATCGAAGCACTTTTACTGTCCCAAAACGTGATGACAGACACAAAAATAAAAAAATATAAAAATATAAAAAAAAACACACATCATTGTAAAACCAATACATTCATCGCTCCGCTCAGAATCTAAAATATAAAAATTTCATAAAATTAAAATACATATAAATAAACGATGATAAATTACATATGAATAAATTGTCAAAAAGTATTAAAATTTCATTTCTTGTAATGGTGACTTACCGAATTCACAAATTGAAACATATTGATAGTACCGTTATATTATTATACTATTATATTAGATATTTTATTTTAATTAAAAAGTACATAATGAATTAAATTATCAAACATATAAAATAAACTTCAGTATTGCCGGCGCAATTAATGTATAATCTTTTTTGGACCTAAATATCGTCCGGCGCAGTTGATGTATAACCTTTTTGAATCCCATAATTTTTTTTTCCTTACCTGTGATTTCTGGCGCAATTGACATATACCCAAAGTACCTACCGGATCTAAAAATAACCACAATCAAAGTTAAAAAACGAAGTATTATTTTGATTACTTGTCGTGTATACTAACTTACATACACAAAAAATAAATAAAAAAAAAACCCTCACTGTAAAATCAATATTAGGTATACATTCATCAGTTGATCAGTTTGCTCAGAATCTAAAATAAATGATAACCTGTCAACACTTAACAGTAAGACAGAAATCAAACAATTTAAAATTTAAATCTAAAATATGTCGGGCTAAATGCATAACGTTCCAATTAATTTTATTCCAATTTGGTAGTTCAGTGTAATTTTCATAAATGTTAAAAATTATAATCGTACTCACTCGGTCTAAGTATTATTTAAATTAGTTAGGTATATATATTAGATGTACCAGTTCTTGTACTATATGTCTATATACATCCTTATAATAATGTATGGTTTGTTGATTGATTGTTATTTTTAAAAAAGCAGCATGTCAAATTTGATATATAAGACCTTTTGGATGTTACCGTGATTGTATATAGGTAATTTAAAAAAACGAGTAAATATATGTACAATGTTCATAACTCTCTTATGATATTATAATAAGTTTATTAACCAATTACCTACCTGCCGGCTGCCATAGTGTCATCCAAAGGTAGTACATCCTTCACAACCTAACCTAACCATGGGGCTATTATGAATTTTGGCAGTGCTAAGCACCCCTCAAATTGCGCCTATGAATGTACATACTTAAATTGATGTATTAGGGACGCTATTATTTTATACCATTTATAACTTACTAGTATAATAACTTATAAGGTAGGTACAATTCGGAATAAAAAAATGTGATTGGTAGTACATAGTACTTATTTTTTAGTAATTACCGTAGAAATTGAAATTTTTATTATTCAAACCAAATTATCCGTATCGAGATCGTTCCAAAGAGTAGCAA